GACTTGTTCAGACAGATAGACGCACGTGACTGGCCCAACGTACAATGTGTTCTTCACTCGCATGAGGGTGTGATGATTGAAGAAGGAAGGAATGCATTTTAGAATTCTCATAGAAAGCAGCAGCTTGGGAAACTAGTTTGAAGATGGAAGAGTAGTTTTGGGATGCGTGTTAAGGAAGTGGGTGAAGGAGACGTGAACTGAAGTGTATTATTTGAGATTGACTGAAAACTTTTCACTTGTAATGTCTTTAAAGAAAAATGGTATCTACAGTTTAGAAAGGGACGAAATCTTGCTTTTTTATAGCTTGTTGTGTTTCCTTGGCTTGTATAATTCTTCTGTTTGTTGCAGGTTGTTAGTGGACGAGCTGGATGATGTGCGGGTCACCTTAATAATTTCAAACAAGAAGGTAGGTAAAATGACACGGGTAGGCAGTGAAGACAGCGCAAAGCACTGACATTAAAGAAGGCCAAGTACGCCATCCAGACAGGAACTGGCATTTGATTTTATGGATGTTATCATTTGAAGCGTACTGACATGCATGCCAAAACGTTTTTTTAAAAATCACGGAAGCTCTTGAAAGCTGCAGTTTGGTGGGATTTAAATGAGCTATGAAGTTACTCATGATCCTTTATTATTTCAAGAAATCATTTTTACGTTGTTGAGTCACATGCCAAATAGCGCTTACAGGTGAGTCATCATGCCGAAGTTCTTTAAGATTATCAGAGGTCCTTTGAATAGTGTCCTGTTGCTTTACAGTACACGTTTTGCTAGTGGTTCAGTAAATTGTTTTGGTATCTCCTTGTTTTAGTCAACTGTGATTAAGAAATGCATCAGACTGACACATCAGTTATAGTTTTGTTATTGCCATCAATATTATTATTGTTTGTGGTCTTATCATTATCTTCATTAATCTTAATAGAAGGGGTGAAGATGGCTGTCTTCTGGGTTGTTGCATCGTGTAGTCTAGTAGAAGTTTATTGTTACTTCGGAGGTCCTTGCTGCCTCCATCATCATCTATCAGATTACACGGCACAACAACCCAGAAGACAGCCATCTTCAGACTCACCGCCGTGAAAACCTCAAATCGTACTTAATAGAAAGGCTGTTAAGTAAGTAACTTTTTACAGTGGGGAAATTAAACATATGCTTAATTTTTTGTCAGTGTATCTGGTTTCACCCAATTATTTTTAGAAATTCTTGAAGAAACTGAAAAATTAATTAACAATTTGTTTGTTACAAAGTGAGCGATTTTAACGCTGCAAGGTAAGCTCAAAAAGTAATCCATCTGACTGTGTACCATACATGATACACAATGAGACTTTTCCATTTGTTACCACAGAATATTTCTTAATACGAATACTAACTCATAAATCCTTTAAAATTTAGTGTGAAATATCTATAAAAAAACAATCATGAGGGATCCCATGTAAGCAATTAAAGTATAAAAAAACCATTCTTAGAATACCCTTGACATACATCAAAACTGCCACATTTAAATTAAAAAGTATGAATATACGTACCTCCAATAAATGCAAAGTCATCCTTGGCAGTGTCTAATGAAGAATCTGAGCAATGTCAGATTCATTAACAGTAGCAATATCTGGAACATTAGTCAGTATCAGTCCTTCAAAGTTTTGATTCTTCCTTGCTCATGATATCCTCCGACAATTTTTGCCACATAAAATATGCCCTTTGGAAAATACACAAGGACGTAATCAGCTGCACCAGATAGTCTTTCCACTTCCATAAATCTAATAAATGATTTCTGTATTATCAAGAATCAATTAACCAACCTCACCAATTTTGATGTATTTTTGCTGACTTTTCGAGCATTCCGACAGCAATTCTTCAGGTCCTAAAACATGATTTATATTTGTGCCTTTGCCACCAAGTTGTATCATTTACAATTTTGCTCCTACCTAGTTGCTGCCCCCTTTCTTTTTTTTAGAAAAAGAAATTGGGATGCTGTGAAACTATTCTGTTGAAATGTTCATAGGGCTTAAACTTTTTGTCTTATGTCTGTATAATTTTGATGGTGTTAATTAGAGGGTGGGCAGGTAAGGCAGAAATGGGCATGATTGATGTCAGGTCACTGTGTACACCCATCTCTCATATGTCTGGCTGGAATGACAAGACTTTGTGGTCAGAACAGCCAGGCATTTATTCTGGCTCTAGGGCCATAGAGCTGTCCAGGTAACTAACATGTTTTTGTTCACAGGTTCAATCCAAACAACCAGTAGTAAAACCTGATTGGGTTTGGGAGTGCAATGATACAGGAATGGTATTGCCAACAAAGCCATATGAATTTGTGAGTGTACCAAATTAAATCTCTTACGAATGGGAAATAAGACTTCTGTATATTAGGATTATGCAAGTGATATATCATTCATTGTTCTTGTATGATTTGCAATTACACGTGTTGTGTCTACAGATTTTCATAATAGATTTAGTCAATAAAAAATTATAATTAATGGTGTTATATTGCAACGTCTTGAACGAGCAACCAACCAAAAAGCTAACTGAGGGCGGAGTCCTGCGCAAGCGCCGTCCCTACCTAGGTGAAACCATTCCTGCGCACGAGGCGCATTGCTGGAAATGGTCTTAATATAAAAAACGGAAATTTTGCTAACGCTAACTGGGTTACGCCGTGGCTGGAGCCTCGACCATTCAAACTGGGATCTGTTGCTGCTGATGGGAGGTTATCCCGTCAGGCAAGTTGTCCAAAAGAATTTGGTTGGTTGGATGTCTGGGGTTTGAACCCAGAGAGGGAAGGGCCGTTTCGGCTGAAGGCCTCTGCGGCATGGGGGGAAGATCACTTCAGCTGATGGCCTCCATGATCGGGGGGGGAGGGGGGATGGCGG